GAAACTAAACAGATTTGCGTTACACGGAGAAAGAACTACAAAAATTTCCCGCGGTTTGCTCGATGGCTAGGGGATTCCAATCCATAAATAATCCACAACTGAGGATATTTTATGTCAGAGATGTAGTCAATGCGAGCGGGGAGCAGAATTCGTATCAGCCAGCCATAGCTGGAATTCGAACCTGGATCTTCTGATGGTGTGACGAAAGCTCTATCCTCTGAGTCACTATGACTCACTATTAAATAATTGTAAATTTTAAATTATCTGTTATTATTTTTGTGTGCGATTAGAGAGTTTAAAATAGTTTAGAAACACTTCAACACCTGAGCCACCTCTGTGCATTTTTAACCTTATGTTTTTATTAATTTTTTTTTTTAATTTTTGTCTGGAATGATTAATTTGTTTATAATTTGGAACTGTCAACTTTGATTATTCGAACTATTTCCTAGCATAAATATTTGTTTAGTGTGCATTTTTTAATCATTTCTATTATGCCACGTTATCTTCATTACTCAGCAATGAGGGTAATAATGTTGAAATGATGATCATTGTCTTAAATATTAGAGTTATGGAGTCGGTAGTTGAAGTGCTTGACTCCAACTTCGAACTTTCCTAAAAGCCTAATTTCAACTCCAATTCAAACTTAAACTCAATTATAAATTCGATTAAATAATAGAAAAGTAATAAGTCTATTAAGTAATTGTTAATTTTAAATTTTTTGTTTCAATTTCTTATATGCGATAAGAGAATTCAGAATAGTTTGAAAACAAAGGATCCGACCAGCGTTTGCAGCAACTTTGTGCATTTTAATCTTCGAGTTAAAACAGCTTTTCAACGTAATGCCATTGAACGAAACATTAACAATCATAATTATTCAAGACATTCCTATACCCTTTCATAAATTAAAAAAAATTCTTACATGGTTACAGTAGTTATTAGTAATTTCGCTATTTGTTAACATGTTTTAGCAAACATAATTTTCAAAGTATTATTTCATTTAAATATCACAATTATTTAAGGCCATATACCGTATCATAAATTAAAAAAATTATTGCATTGCTACAGTAATTATTAGTAATTATGGTCTTATAACTTAAAACGTGTTATACACCGAAGAGCCTATTAAATACGGTGATATGATCTTTCAGATCTCGGGGTTTCATTCATTACAAAACGCCTTTAACATAAAATATATTTAATAACAAGAAGGATGATGATGATGTTACAGTGTTATGGAGGAAAACTGTGTAGAAAACTGATTTTACATTGCTGCGCAGAGCGCCATCTATTGAGTATTAGAAATAATTAATATGGAGAAATAAATAATATTAACAGAGCCATTACATTATGACCACCCTCCATCTATAACAATGGGGTCGCCCAGGTTTTCATGGTTTCTCGCCCAGAAACAATGTTTTCATGGGACACATTAGGACCCATAATGCTCATAGAACAATCCCTGACGTCTGTAAGCTACTTGAACATAGTTGCAGACCAGGCTCACCCATTCATGGCAACAGTTTTTCCTGCGGGGGATGGTGTTTACCAACAGGATAATGCACCATGTCATAAGGGTCGAATCGTTGAGGAACATTCCAGTGACTTTCAAGTCATGTCTTGGCCCCCAAATTCACTTGACCATAATCCAATAGAGCATTTGTGGTCCTATTTGGAAAACCAAATTCGTGTTGCCACTCTATCCCCTCGCAATGTGAGGGAATTTCAGGACCAGTTGATGAGCGCTTGGTACCAGATACCTCAGACTACTTATCAGCACCTTGTGGAATCAATGCCACGGCGGGTGCTAGCAGTTTTGAGGACTGAAGGCGGTCCTACATGTTATTAGCAGGGTGGTCATAATGTAATGGCTCTTCGGTGTATGTCATTATGTTTTAAACATACATGGCATTATTCATTTTCAATTAAGTAAAACTTTATGCCAATATTTTTTATTCTAACCAATGACAAAGTAATCATTTTCTTTGATGCTAATTTTTTTTGATAATTTATCTTAAATCTTTAAAAAAAAATACCAAATGCAAGAATAATAATGATCTATATAAATTTGTTTTGTCTGTATCACAAAATAAATAAACAAAAAAGGAACGAAAGAAATTTCGAGAAAAGGATTTTATTTAAACTTTTCCTTCCCTTTTTCGCTTTTAAAGTAAAGATGAAAGAGATTGAAAATGAAGAAAAAGAATAAAACAGATTCCTGGATCTATTTGTGTCTTGGCACTAAAATAAAAATAAGGAGAAAAAATTGAACCCGGTTTAAGGAAAACGGAATGGGATTCGGAAGAGAGAGAGAAAAAAAAAAAGACTGGAAATAGGAAAGCGAAAACAGGTACTGACCAATAGCTCTGCCAATCCCCTGTATTTTTACAGTGACAGCTACGATTGGGTCATTGTGACTCTTGGAGTTGGCCACGTTTTCTTATCTGACAACGGGGCAAAAATACGCGTGTGGAAATAAATTGCTTTTTGTCGCACACTGGGAGATACTGGGGGTTAGGCCACGGTGAAATTTGTTTACTTTTCTCAGACGGAGATATGGGTGAAAAGTAATAAAAAAGTGGCTTTATATGGGAAATGTCACAGACCTGTCACCAATCATGATAGAAGTAGATATGTCTGTGTATTGTCCCCTATTTGAAATATCTCTCCATGTGAATTTAAGAATATTGGAACGATAGATCTAATTCTAAACGAATATGAGTTCATATAATTGAAGACGAAGTTTTGACATCCTGTATCCGTAGATACTTTATATTATAATAACTAAACTAAACTCAGTGGCGCGACAGCCCATAAATGGCCAAGGCCTATTGTGCCCATCTCTGTTTTCTTGACCTTTAGGCTCTGGAGTGCAGGAGTAGATGTTCCGGTTAGGTGGTCAACCCAACGCGGAACCCCCAGTGTTTAGTTTCCCAGCATGCTTGGTACTCATTTTATTGACCTACTGAAGGGATGAAAGACTGAATCAACCTTGCCCGACCCGAGGATCGAACCAAGGACCTGTGCCACGACAGGTCCTTATAATAACACTCTTAAGAAAAATTTTAATGTTGACAGCTGGGCACATTAACTATTAAGCACAGGAAGTATTTCTGCTCTCCATACTTAACTCCGGACAGTTAAGCATCGGGAATTTTCCTCATTTATTAAGAATAAATGAGTCATTATTTTAATACTTTTCCTTTAATTTTATCCATTAATTTTTTTTCTATTGAACCTAGTTACCCATTGTTAAATGTTTACTCTTTATTCACCAAATTATTTTTAAAAAATTATCGCAAATGTACGAGACTTTTTTTGTCTCATTAAAAAATGTCTATTTTAAACTTCGGCAAATATTTTTTTAATATTCAATATTTTCTAATTTTTCATGAAATTTTTAATTTTGGACTTACACCACATTATAAAATTTGAATTAGAGCTAAACATTTAATATTTTGTTTTATAACTAGTTGAAAAAGCTAATGAATCAAAAAAATATATGAAAGATGTATTTTCAAAATTGATCGAGAATTAAAGCGGAAAATTGACGAATCATAAAATGGCAACCTCGAATGAAATATCAACAGCTAAATTGTTCCAAGAGTGATATGCAACTTCAAATAATTGTGTGTTGTTAACTAATGATAAACGGAAAGTCATTAGAGTATGTGTTACAGGGACGGATAAATTCGGATGGGATGTTTTGTTCTGTTTCAATGCAATGTAGAAAAATGTATAACTGGGACTTAAAAGTCAAGTCGATATATAAAGGATTATGGTTCTAAGAATTTTTAAAACTTTTTCAAAGTTCAAGTTTGCATAACATATTAAATTCAACCATGTATCTGATCAAGTTAAACCATACTGCAAGGTAATGTATATTTTGAACTAAAATGCAGTTCCACGTGACACCATCATGTTGAGATTGCAGCAGCCTTATTAAGAAACCCCTATTAACAAGATTTTAGATACGTTACTAACTGAACCGTTCATTCTACTATTTATAAACATGAGTTCTGTTTATTTACAATGCAGTCTTATCTCAATGGTGATTTCAAGTATAAAGAAAGAATAAATAAAGTTATATTCTTCCTTTGAAGGATTGGGAAGACAGACAGGTCTAGGGTTTCGATAGCCCTGGGTAAAAGGAAGCATATGAGCTATATTTTCAACTTTCTTAAGATGAAACATGCTGAAATTTTGAAAGTGACACAAGTTAAAACTGTAAAATATTACAAACTAATGAGTATGTAACATTGAAAAATATAATTACAGTTATAATTTATATTAGTTTTAATTATATTAAATTTTTGAAAATATTAAGAGTCACGAATTGTTTTAATTTTGAAACTTAACTTGGGAGAGCTAAGGAATTAAACTGATTTTTAAGTGCTTTAAATCTCTTCAGCCATGGGCAATCTTCTAGTTTACCTCCACTTTTTAGACATTGTCCCAGTAGAAGAGTTACCAAAACTGGAAAACACCCCCATTTTTCTTATATTTCTGCATAGATATGTAGGATTATCTACTCAACACAATAAATGGTTAAAAAAAACCTTGTCGAATTGTGAGCAGTCTATAGTACAAATTAGGATTGATAGTACAAATTAAGTAGAAAGGAAAAAACCTTTCAGCCGCTGAGAACACATTTATAAACCTATTCAAACTAAAAATTAGTAAGTCTTATCTTAGTATTATAGTATATATACTAAACATAATAATCAACTTTTTTTATCTATTAGTCCTTTTTAAGAACTTATAGTTTCAAATACAAAGAAATGAAACATTGCTTCTCTTTCGATATTGGATGTCAAAGCATATGAAAAACGTATGTCGAATTTTATGTGTGCGAAAATCGAGGGGATAAATCTGTGGTAATGTTGACATGGTTGTTACATTGACAATTATTTTCCTTACATACAGCTTTAAAATTGTACTTCTTTATGCTGAAACTTAGAAAGATGTGTCAGAAATAAAAAATTGTGTATTTTCTTTTTTAGCTACTCCAGCAGAGACCGAACCTGATGTTGCATTGTATGTGGGAGTATTCGTTGCTGTGGCTGTTTTCGTGGTCGTAGTTATAGCCATGGTCATGCTTGTACGTCGTATCAAGGGTCGAGATCCTTGCATGTATAGGGGAGCTGGTACAGGTAAGATCTCCTCTTGGTGATTATACTTCTAGATAAATAACTGAGTAAAAGAGCATGTCAAGTTCTACTTAGTCTCCAGATTATCTAGTTAAAGAGAAAGTTATTGTTCGCTGTAAATAGAGAAACTCACTATATTCTGGTAAAACCTAAATTAAGGTGGGTTATAACTGAAGAAGTCGTTTTGTTGTACATATGCTTCTATTTAGTTTTCTTATACTCAAGAAACATCACTTTATATTTTTTCATTACACTCTTCAATTAACATTTGCTATACAATTCTAAACTAAGCTGTATAAGAAATAATGATTTATATTCTGAAAAAATTTACATAAATTGATCGATGCCATCTTCATTTTCCATATCTTAACAATCCAGAATGAGAGGAAACCTACGGAATTAGACATTTTCAAGTTGGTGTAACTAGTAAAAAAAATTAGCAGGTGCAGTAGATAGTTAAACTGCATTTTGAATCAAGAGCCACAGTTTTCCGCAGAAATTCTTGAAACTTACATATTTGGGAGGGTAGAATTCTTAATTTACCAAATAAAATTTCAATTTTACCGGATCCTAATATTTTTTACATTTAATAAGCATTCAAATATCTCATCTCTGTAATTGAATGAATATTATTTACGATTTTATATTTTTAAATTTACTAAAAGAACGCTCATCTTAGGCGGCATTTTCAAAAACATATTTTAATAAAAGACAGTTTATTTGTTAAAAGCAAAATTTTTTAAATCCAGACTTCACTTAAGTTGACGTCTTTTCCATTGCTTAAGTCACAAAGTATTTCTAAAAATTCCTGAATACTCAAATTATGAAAGTTTTATGGAGATCACAATAACCTACAGTTTAGGCACCGATATTGTTGATTAAATTGTACTATTTTGTTGGTTTTATAAGCACCATTATTTTTTTTTCAAATAGATTAAAGTCTTATGGTGTAAAAAATAAAGTATAGACATCTGTGACAAGATTTTTTACACCATAAGACTTTTTTTTTCTTTCCTCCAAGCCCTGAGCATGTACCTAGGTTATGAAAACCCTTAACCATATAGCCCAGGACTTGGCCGCTTGTCCAGCTCCACTCCAGCCTAAATAACATAAAATTTAAAAAAAAAATTTAGAAATTAAAAAAAAAGAACAGATTTTACTGAAAGTGTGGAATTTAAGAAGAAATTAGACAAAAAAAATATTATACATGTGAAATGGGAAGTTATTAAAATTTTAATAGATAGTCATTATCCGCTAAGAAGTTCATTACTGTTATTAATCTATTATTTAAAGTATTGTTAGTAATAAAAGTTTTCTGCCAAATTTCTAAATTTGTTGGGCTAGGTTGACGACTATGCCAGGAACAACTAGTGAAATAATGTTCAGGCGAACCTTGTTGGCCGCAGGTGCGAAGATCAGTATCTGTTATATGCAGGTAATTAAAGAAGGTTGGAAATGGTCCATGACCCGTCAAGAACCAGATGACTTGTTTTGGAGGAATTGTTTTGAAAAAAGTAACATTGTTAATAATTTTGAATAGACGTCTGCCTCTGTCTGAATTATTCCATTGAGATTGCCATTTTGTTAGAAGAGAATCTTTAATACGTCGTTTAAGATATGAAACTGGAAGTGGGTATACATAATTTTTCGGTTGTCTCGTAGATTGTTTAGCTAAATCATCTGCTTTTTCATTACCTACTCTATTGCTGTGTGCTTTAATCCAGGAAATTTGAATTGATGTGTGTTGTAGTTCTTGTTGAATATCAAAAGAAATTCTATTACTTGTGCCAAAATCAAGTATTGATGATATTGATGATTTTGAGTCTGACCAGATTACATAAGTATCGTTATTATTGAACACCATAAGACTATATTTTTTACACCATAAGACAAAATATAAGACAAAATTAGAACGACCTATTTATAAATATCACATTTTGAATAGCACTAAGATTAGCCGAAGTTGTGAAGCGTTACACTTTTACTGTCTTAAAACTGATTAATTTATTTAATAAAGAACATGGTTTAAAAATTTGCAGACAAAAGTCTAAAGAATCAATATAATTTTTAAAAAAAGAGCATGTTGACTAAGTATCAAGACAATAAAGATGAACACAAAACGGTAACTAAAAAAATATTCCTGTTTAAATAAGTGAACCTATATTACTAGTTAAGTATTTGACTATATTAAAAGCATCTCACGTGAATTTACAAAATCAATTCCTAATTCTGAATATTTTAAAATATCACAACACTCAACAAGCCTTCAAATTACCGTAAGTTACCATTTTATTAAATTGTTTATTCAGTTTTTTTTTAAACATTTAGAATTAATTTTGTTTCATTACCCATTCCGTCTTCTAAGAATGTGCCAAGAAAAAAAAATCTAAAGGCTTAAGTCAAGAACATTCAATCAAGCGTTAAAAGAAGGGAAAAGTCGCTCGCTGGAATAGAAAAGACGACAAAAGACAGCGTCAAAGAAAAGGATTAGTCCTTTTTATTGCCCCATTTATTAAGTAATATTTGACTTCCGTTCCTCGAGAGGTCCTTTCCTTGATTAAGTTTTTCCCCCGCCATCTTTCACGTTGCTTTCTCTCCTCAAAAAGCAAACACTTGAATGGGCAAGGGCTGCACGTCAGCTTTTAGCTCTGTTGCTCCATGGAAAACGAAAGAACGCTCGTACAACAGGTCTAGGCAATAAATTGGGAAACGGTGAAGAAAGAAAAACGATATGAAAAAAGAAACTGTTTTATTATGAAATATGTTTGACTTGACAAACAATGAAACGCAATTTTTTTCGGAGATAAAGTGAATACCTATACATATATGCGCATATATCTATATGGTATCAGGGGGAAAAAATTCTACATGAAGCGTTTTTTAAAAAGTGGAAAAGGGATAAGGAGAATGCATTTATCAAAAGCAGACGAGCTTTCAGGAATTCGATAAATCTATCGAAGGACAAAACCGATATTTGAAAAAAGAAGAAAAAAATTAACTTTAGTTTTTGTTCGTGTTAATTTTAATTTTTTCTTCTACTTTTTTTTCTTTCGCCTTCTTTCGTTTTTTTCCTTCTCTCTCTCACTCTTTTTAAACAAGTGAAAAGATTTTACCATGTGTCTGTTGAGGAGTTCTTTTTATTTAATTGGTTTTGAGCTTTTGGGATCGCTTTCACCGACTAGTTAAATCCGTTCTTTCAGAGTAAAAGGGATTCTTAGAATAATCGCACCCTGTAAACAAATTATGCCCTTAAATTGAATGGACATTTTATTTTGTTAAGCCTAATGTTTTTTATGATACTTTCTTTATTTCGACTCCTTATGTTGAATGCATAGTGTCTCCCAGTAAATACATAGTAAAATTCGATAATTTTTATTTGAACATGCATCTTAACTTTAGTCAACGAGTTTAGAATTAACTCGCAACTTCACGTCTATCTGCTACCAATATCACAATATAGTAATTAGATACAGCCAGTAATTACATACCATTACTTACAACCCAGGGTATTTACACAAAACATCGTTGATAAGAACCTAATATTAATTGAGGGTTTCAAAGCAACCAACTACAACAGGTGAATACAACTTTTTACATCAAACATTTTGGTCAAATTATTGTACAACGGGGTAACTCTTCTCATCACTTAAATCAATTAGAATATCTTTACACTTGCTAAATTAACGATAAAACACCGAGAAAAGGGAACTAAAGACACTATCAGAATACTCTGAAATCATTTATTTTTGAAAGAAAGAAAACCTTGCTGATTATCTAGACTTTTTTTTTCTTCTCTTGATCAAATTCCAGATATGTTGTCATCATTGAAAATATAATTCTGTTGGAAAATAAATAAATATTCAATTTATTATGGGATACTGGAAAACAGAAGTGTAGTAAAAGGATACAGCCATTCAAAAGAGTGAGAAAAAAATGTTAATTGTATTTTTAGGGGAAATAAATACTTTTATTTAGACATTATTGTTTACATTTTTTACAATAAAACTTGAATTATTTATTTCACTAATACTCGCTAGTATTTTAGTTGTTTTCTCCATGTAAAAATTGGGGAGTAGCACATGTTTAGTATCCAAGTACAAATAATTTTGAAAATTGTCAAATTGTGTGAAATGATATAGTATTCAGAAAAAGGGGTTCGAACACTCTTTTCTCAGCGCAAATAATAAATTTTTGGCATTTGTAGCAAATTTCTGTTTATTATCTTTAAATTCGTGTGAATTCAGGAATTCATCGGCCCTTCAAAGGCTTTCCCTAGATGTTGGCACTAATTTTGTTTCCGTTTTACCATATTCATCGGTATAACTTATCACTTCTTCGATTGATTCTGGAAATATTTGCTGAAACTAAAGTTACAACATTTTCATCAATTGATAGATGAACATCAAATTTGATGTTCCTGGCATTTTCTATTAACTGTAACCAATACTAAATTTCTTCTTCATTAATATCGAAGCTCATCATTTTTAGACGAGACGGTACATGGTTTGCTGTCGAGAGAGTAGCAGATATCCCCAAGAAGTTTCGATGGTAATATAAATTAAACTAAACTAAACTCAGTGGCGCGACAGCCCATAGAGGGCCAAGGCCTATTGTGTCCATCTCAGTTTTCTTGACCTTGGGCTCTCAGTTTTCTTGACATTGGGCTCTGGGGTGCAGGAGCAGATGTTCCGGTTAGGTGGTCAGTCGAACGCGAAACCCCCAGTGTTTAGTTCCCAAGCATGCTTGGTACTCATTTATTGACCCACTGAAGGGATGAAAAGCTGAGTCAACCTTGCCCGGCCCGAGGATCGAACCCAGGACCTGTGGCACGGGAGCGCGAAGCGCTACCACTCAGCCACCGGGCGTCGGTAATATAAATTAACAAACCAAAAAACAATATTCTCCTTATATTTTATTGGAATTTCAAGTTTTTATAGTCAATGGTAACTGTTTAATTTTACACGACGTTTTAAAGAACTCGTCATACTCACAGCAATAAAGAT